GACCATGTTGTTGACCATCTAGCCTCAGTGACTGACCTCGATGTCTTTGGATGCACGGTGGACTTCGTACACCCCGCAATGCAAACCTATCTCGATGACCCAATATGGGAGGTATTGCAAAAGAACACGCAGTTTACCATAGTGCTTCGTGACTGCCTTGCCGTCCTTCATTCGAAGGAAAGCTTCGATGGATGCCCATGTCGTGATATCCCACAAGCAGTCAAAGTTCCAATGAACCTGGCGGGAATCATTCCCGCGGGTGCCTTTGTTGCTGTGCTGCGCCTGCGTCATATCAGTGTAGAAGCAGGCATAAGCGCAATTGGAGCTGAAGCATGGCAGAGCTGCCGACATCTTCGGGTGGTCAGAATGCCCAGTACTGTGGTGCGAATTGCGGATAACACCTTTCGAGGTGCCAGCTGCTCAACAGCATTACAGCACTTTCATGAACTGTGCTGCATTACCAGAACTGGCTATCCCGCCCTCACTGCATTACATTGCCAGTAGGGCCTTCCTGGATTGCTCATCACTTCGTAGGCTCATAAAACTCCCAGGCCGAAAAACCACATGGCGGGGGACTTATGCAGAGGAAAATGCTTTCGCCATTTGCCCTGCCATGCGATGGCCGCAGTGGCTGCACATGATCCCGGACCAAGGCTATGTGTTGGGCTTAGCCTAGCTCGCTCACCCATGCTCACAAGTGATTTCGAATGCGCTATCCTTCAAGCCTGTTCGCGCGCGCGCCTCGTCCCACAGACCAGAGAAGACCTACACTATGCCGGTTAAATAAAGGTCACACCTGTCACTGCTGTCCACACAAGCTGGATCAAGCTGTTCGCCAAGTTCGTCTCCACACCTTGCTGTTAGTGAGCCGACCTGGCTGTGAGCCTCAGCTCTTGGCCGGAGATTGGCGCGCGGCAGTAGAACTGTAGACGATTGGCGCCCAGGTGAGAACCTCAGTTCTTTGTCTGTGGGAGTCAGCACTCAGCCAATCTTGTACAAAGATGGCACAAGGACCATGCTAGGATATATTTCGGTTTCACCAGTTTCACAGGGCCATGCACGTCGGTGGATAGTGACCTTTGATGACCGCTCTACCCATCTCATTGGAAATGTGCACGCTCCCCAGGCTCCCCGCTTGTTGCTCGGGAGCCATTTGGGCGGGCGTGAGATGCTTCCCCCTGCTTGAGGGAGGTCAATAGGTTGCCTGCAGCCGCACTTTCGTTGCGATGTCTATCACCTCTGTACCCAAGTCTGGCCACAGCCTCCTTTGCTCGTGCAGTCATTTGTAGTGGTTGTGCCACAGAGTGGCTGTTTTCCAAGGCCTGCAAAGCATCGCAACTTGATGACCTGTAACGATCATCATAAACTTTCGCGCTGCAATTTATTCGCACCAGCTGCTCTATTAGTCTTCGAACAAGGCTGAAGTGCCTGCAACCGAGCCTGGCAAGGGTGACTCTTCCCCTTGTCTGCGCACGAAGGCCACCGTTGAATGGCCTTCATGGACAACAGCCAAAGTCCTGATACAGCATACTGCATACGTCGAGAATTCGGGCCCATCTAGTTAGTACGACACTCTCTCAAGTTTCACACGTCTCACCTTAGTACAGACGAAACTCTGCCCACATTGGTTGTTGGGGTCTTTTAGTGCTGGTGTTTTTGGGGTCGGTTTTTGGTTTTGGGTTTTGTGTGTTCTCTGTCTTTTCGGGTTGCTCCCCCTACCAATAAGCAGAGTTTCCATCCTTTCTATGATGACCTGGGCACACCGCCCACATGGCGTCCGTACTCGTGGAAAAAGTCAGAGACACCAGTTCTGTGTCGAGAGATGCCAACGGGGTGCTTTTGTTCCACAGGACATGGACAAGGAGCTCATGCCTTTGATAATTGTAAGCTTCTCTCTTTAGTATGTCCGACACAACCATTCACATTTGCGAACTGTGTGCTTCTCCAGAGAGTAATGCTCCCATATACGCTCCACACCATCCATTCGCAAGCACTTATGAATTGTGCCGCTTTGCAAGAGCTAGCCATCCCACCATCACTTCATCACATTGCCTGCAAAGCCTTCTTGGATTGTACAGTTTTGAGAGGGCTTGCGCGACTGCCCTCTCCAACCCGTACAAAGGAGAGAAGAGCCAGTCAGGTGTCGTCACCACTGAGACCAACATGTCCACATCTGCACACTTCCAGTGAGCTGACACAGGCGAGAACCTTGGTTCTCGACCTGTGTCTGCGCGCGCCGGGAGGATGGACAGGTGGTTGGAACCCAGGTGAGAACCTTAGTTCTTGGCCTGAGCATGGGTCCGTACCCTGCCAACCTTGTACAAAGTGGGCAAACGACTCCACACTAGCCTTACACAGGCCGATCGCGCGGAGCCTCTTCGCATATGAATCGACAACCCTCAAGAGCAGCAAAATTAGAATTCGTGGCCCAGGCAGCAAACAGCCGCAGTTCCCGTTTCACCATGTCTCACTTCAGATGTACAGAGATGAAACTCCGATGATCTATCTTTTTGTTTTCTGTTTTTTGTTTGTTTGTTTGTTTTGGTGTTTTGGGTTGTTTTTTGTTTGGTTGTTTTCCCTTTTTCGCTTCTTGAGTACTCGGAGTGATTTCAACGAGTGCTCTGCACTGGCCTGACTCACAGGCCTGTAGCGCCCGCAAGTGCTCGTGCACTGGCCTGTAAACATTCGTACACTGGCCAACAAAGATTCGATTGCAGCTCAAGCTCGAATTCACGGCCCCAGTGCCCCACTAAAAAGCAACCATAGTCCTTCTTTCACCATGTCTCACTTCAGATGTACAGAAATGAAACTCCGATGTTCTCGCTTTGTTGCTTTTTTGGTTTTGGGTTTTGTTGTTGTTTTGTTGCTTCCTGGTTCGCTCTTTTGAGCACTCGGAGATTCAAACCTTAGCCAAAGATGACCTGTGCACCATGCACACATGGCGTCTCCACTCGTGCAAAAAAATCACAAACTTATTCCTCATCTTCTGAGAGCCATGCCAACTCATCTGCCGGTGACAGATCCTCACAGAAACGAAGGAGGCATAGTGTGAGCAGTGTGATGATCTTCTTGAATGGATGCCTGATTGCCCGTCGATCTTCTTGACGACAAGAGAGGTGATGATCAAAACGATCACCGACAGCTCGTCATGCAGAGCTTTCACAGAAAGGCTTGGAGTTGGTCGCCTAAAACACATCGACACAAGACATCTATGGATGCAACTTGAATTCAAGAAGAAGACCCTCAGGATGGAAGGCGTCCCTACACTTTGGAACGTGGCTGATTTGGGCACCAAGCGTTTGTCACGCCAGAGAAGAGAGTTTCTGATGTTGATAGGTGTGATGGAGATGAATGCAGAAGGTGCCGAGCAAATCTTTTGCCATGTGGGCGAAGAGACGTTCCATGAAGAGGTGCGAAAGATGAATTTGGCTCTGAAGATGAAAGAAGTGAAGAACGAAATGATTTCTGCCCTGGTGGAGGAGAAGAGTGAAACGAAAGTGAAGATCTCAAAGTCCATGGTGAAGATGGTGACTTTGCTTCTTCTCAATCCTGGAGCCTATGGACAGCCAGAAGATGGAAGTGAGGAGAACTTCACGGCTGACGAGAACGATGGCCAAACCTACCGAAGCCATGGATGGCTGATCTACATCCTGGTGTTTGTGATCTACACGATCTTTGTGGCCGGCTGTGGCATGTGGGTTGGCTATACAAAGTGGAAGATGATTTCGAGATGGCTCAGAAAGGTCAAGCCCTACATGCAAGGTGACTGGTTTGTTGACTTCTATAGAGATGCATGTTCTTTTGCAACCTTTTTCTCAGCATTCGCCTTCAAGGGCAAATCTGGCGACCCTTTCACGCCAATTGTCCTCCCATTGGCGGGACATCACAGCCACACAAACGGCTGAAAAACCCTTCTTGCGTTCGTCGTCCCAGCCTAAGGCGTGGTCGAACCTCATGAAGGGGTACCACTCTCCAAATTTACAGGTCAGTCTCGCCTGTACATATTGTGTAAACTGCGAGCGGGAAAACAAACCTGCTGTCAGCAATCTCCGAGCTCTCCCTTCTTCATCTTCGCTCAAGTATCGAATGCAGTTTTCAAGTTTGTTCCAATCTAGGGCTTCTGGTGGATCTTCTCGATCATAATCCTGCCACAGGTAGTCATCATTTGGCAGGGTAGTGCCACTCTCCACTGGCACATCACTGTAGGCTGCACTGCCTCCATCCACTTCCATCTCTTCTACTCCTGCTTCTTCATCTCTCTCCGAAGCTGTAGGCCTGTAGTGCCTTCTGTACCCATGAGTTGGGCTCAGCATGAAAAATTCTTCTCCACTTTCGGCGTCATCTCCGGATGTCAAAATCCGGTACGGCCTCAGTCGATGCAGCTCTGGATCCCAATCTGTGAGATACTGCTCGACTGTCACATCGTCTCTGCCGTTGCTTCTCTGCTCCTCTTCTTCTTCTTCCTCTTCTCTTGGTCCGCGCCTTCCTCTGCTTGCTTGGGAAACTTCTTCCTCTTCATCAAAACTTCCTTCTGGGCCTTCACGTTGTCTTCCAACTCTTGAACCTCCGCGTCTCCTTCTCAATGGTTCTGGTAGTGCAGGTGGTGGTTCACGAATCCATTCACCACCTGTTGCTTCAACAGAAGTTCTTACTGCCCATTCTCTCATGTCTAGCCCTGATCTTGTCGGTTGAGTTTTGCATCCCATGCACATGTCACGTACAGCAGACTTCAAACCATGGCCGAAGTGGCGCACGCTTCGCTCTGAAAAAGGAGCGCGTTGCCATTTTGTCAGCAAAACATATCACTATCAACATTTTGCAAACACTTCCAAGTTCAAAGACTGCGAACAAGCACATTTTTAGAAGATTTTTTGGTGGATCAACTCCATGATGTCGATGGAGTCCGACTGTGTCCTGTACGGTAACCATGGTCCATGGTGGTGATGCAGCCGTGGTGGTTCAACTTGAAGTTGTTTGATCCTCATGGGAAACTGCATTCAATGGCACCGCCTGGTGTCGTCTTGGCATTTCTATGTCATTTCATACTTATTCGGCTTGCGCGTGCAGCACGGCCAAGTGCACCTTGGCTGCGCAGTTCGGGTGATGAAGAAAACAACATATTTGGCGCGGTGTGAAAACTTTTAGTGGAGGGATGCGCCAGTGCATGCAAGAACTTGACGGGATGGCATACAGGCGTTTTCGTTCATCCAAGAAAGCAGGGTGTTTCATGGCAAGATGCCTTTGATTTGTCATGGCAACCGTTGAACACTTTTGAGCAGTTAGTTGGGACTTAAGCTTCAAAGGCTGTGGCGAGTCATGGTGTTGGGTTGACACAGGTTCTCTTGCCTCGATTGCAACAGTTTTCCAAACATTTCCAAGCAACTTGATGGGTTGCACATGGGTGTTTGACCCTGAAGAAGCTGTGGGCATTGCGTTATGAACACTCGGGCCGTAAGTGCCGAGGTAGCTCAATCTGTCTTTCTTGCAGAGGCACGTTGCAACTGGTTGCACCGCCCGGTGACTATATATATAAAGAAAATTTGTGTTTTTCCTCATTGGACTCACCTCTATTTTTCTTCAACAGCAGAAACATGCGACGGGTCTTGCTTCAATTTCGCCATTGTGGGCGAAAGCAAGACGACTTTCGACGAGATTCAAGTTGTCATTCCCCATTTGCCTTTTGATACTTTGTGGTTTGCTTTCGGTAGCTCTCCACAAACTGACTGATTTCACTGAACTGGTTCTAGTTTCTTTGGTGGACACCACTTGGGGTTATAGCAGGCTGTTGGGGCATTCAGCGGAATGATTCCATACCACTGCAAGGACAAATGAATGATTGAATGAACGATGGTTTGGAAAGGAAATCCACCAAACATGGCCTCATTTTGTTGATGTCCTTGAAGGGTTTGTATGGTACGTGGTATCGGCCGGGGTGGCCCAGCGTTGTTTTTTGGGTAAAGTAGCTAGCATTGGACATGCATCATGCCGATGCCAGCGGATGGATGTGATCATGATGTGGTATTTGTTGCCAGCATTAGGGGGCAGATTTCCGAGAAACATCCAAAAGACACCAAAACGAACCTGCGGCAATCACCTTCCAAGCATGTGAGGATCCACAAGACGACCTTGAAGAGCGATTCCGCAGGTTGATTGGCAAGAATGTTCCTCATCAGGACTCTGACAGAGAAAGATCAGTGGAAAAATCATATTTGTGCAAACGGAACTCTCCTGATCTCATGCTTCCGCTCAGCATGTGGCTTGCTTCAGCCCTGAAGGATCAGCCTCCATCCTTCCAAGCGCAGAAACGGCAGGAGGAGTGGGAGATGTGGATGAAGGGCAACGAACCATGAGAAGAGGGTGATGGTTCCAGTCAACCGCAGCAGATCCGGAAACTCACAATGCAAACCAAGTCTGGTCCGCCTGCTCTGCAGGATGAGGATGTACTGTAGATGTTTGATGACGTTGTTTTGGTGGGCAATCAGAGCCGTGGGATGTCAATAAATTGTCCAACAGCAGACACAAGCAACGGATGTTGGTTCATTTCTCTATCTCGGGCGCAAGAGTACTCCCTTACATTGCTGATTGAATGAACGATGGTTTGGAAAGGAAATCCACCAAACATGGCCTCATTTTGTTGATGTCCTTGAAGGGTTTGTATGGTACGTGGTATCGGCCGGGGTGGCCCAGCGTTGTCCTTTGGGTAAAGTAGCTAGCATTGGACATGCGGGTCAAGCGGCATCATGCCGATGCCAGCGGATGGATGTGATCATGATGTGGTATTT